CAAAACCAGTAGAATTTTAATGTGATTCCATGCCCTTTATTTAATTCCTCGTCATGCAGGACACGTAAAGTTAATATGTTTCCCATGCCACAATGACTTTACATGAACTATATTCCTAAAAACTGACATATGTTTAAACTTACACCACCTCGAAGCTATGAAATAAAATCAGCATTCACAATCGCACTTCATGTATACAACGCGACTGTTGTTAGCGGTAACGATTTGATTTGGATGGCAGAGAGACGCCTGATCAGTAGCCGTTGTGTTGTCAGGAATATAGCATATAGTGTTGTATTATATTGATTAAAATAGCGTCGTATTAGGTTATATACATGTACATCTGAACTAATGCATAATATATAATTATAAAAAATTGTGTATGTGCAATTCCAGATTTTCATCACGTTTTGGAATAGGTAAAATTCATTCAACATCCAAGCTGACCACCACTGATGTGAATGTGGAACAATGAGATACATATTACATCTCTGCAGCTCAGTTGCCATGGTTACTCCCTTAGTAGACATTGCGACATTTTAATAATAGGTATGCGACTTGTTGTGCGCGTCTGATTGAACAAATGTTTGCTTTAATGTGAAATGACGAAACATTCATCATATATTACTCAAAAGAAGTTAAAGAACTCCCGAATCTTCTATATTATTCAGTGTCTTGTGCGCGGTGGGATAGTCTAGTGGTTAAATCGTTGGACACCCGGGATCGATTCCTGTGTCACGCCCATTTTCCGGAGTCCCCCGTCGTGATATTGCTGGAATATTGCTAAATGCGGCGTAAAATCATACTCACTCACTCGTGCCATTTAAATGTAACCAAGGAAGTAAGGATAAGATACATATATATATATGAATAACTTCTTTATAAGAATAAGGAGCGACGTTTATATATCCTTACTTAGTACTCCAACTTCTAAATGCTAGAAGTCACCAAGGAAGATGTATTTGCAGCTGAAAATAGGCATTTGACACCAAAAGTGTTGTCCCCGAGACAAGTGTTGATTGGTATGCAATAACTGAATATATGTTTTTTTCATCTGCACTGTAAATATTTATCATTTTTTGCAAATGTCACAACCTGTTTTGCTGGGTCAAGAAATGAAGGTCATTAAAACTAAAACATTAACGTTCATGCCACATAAATGTTTTCGATATTTTCTAAAATGATCAAATATTATAATCGGGGGCTTAATACGACACACCTTGAATTAAACCCCAAAAAATAAATGTATAAATACTAATATCATCCCTGTGTTTAGACTCAACCGATTTACTGTTATGATACGAGAATCTGACACCTCCCGTTCCACTTCTTAGTCCGACTTATATAACACACCGTTACCATACAATAGCGAATTATCAAAAGATAGTATCGGTGACTGGTTCAAGCACCTCTTACCAACACACGATGGGAAGCGGGAGAGTTATCTCAACACTTTGACAAACAAGTAAAACAGTCCATATTTTCCTATCATGCCGTCTCCCACCGTTCCTCAATAGTGACAGACCATTAAGAGGAGATATGTCACCCGTTTGTTGACAATGAAGGCGATAAGTGACGAGCATGGCCAGTTACCAACAGCCATGTTGTGTAATCGCCATCTTGAAAATGATGAAGTACCCGGATAGAGGCAGCTTGGCTTGACATGACAGCGGTTGTCTTGTAGTTCCTACAATTAACTATGTACACGGGGATACACTGGGCGTTAATTGTAAACACACAATTATCCATCTAAACATGCCAGTGACCGAGTGGTAGACCGGTATTGATACATGCAAGGTCGAGTACATGTGAGTTGATTGTTGTTGGACTTAGGGGAGTGTAGGTCGTTCGCATAGTACCGTGCCACATCGATAAGATACAGGAAGGTCGAAACATGTCAGTTATCTATTGTCATTTCTACATATATCATAACTGGTCTCCTATTTGTGTTATAGGTATATAATTATTTACGGTGTAAGAATTTACATAGAAACGTCACTATATGCAATAAACCAGAAGTTGTTATCCATAAAGTATTTTCTTTTTCTTTTTTTCTTTATTATTTGCCAATTTCTAGAATGCCAATTAAACAGTTAAAGGTATCCTTTTGATAGAAAGAACCATTTAATATAAAATGTTTATTATTTTTTAATATGACAACATGTACGTTCCAATACTGTTTTCCAAGAACGACATGCAGTAATTCAGAACGATCGTCCCAAAAATATCACCTATATTTTAATTTTTTTTTTTTATTTTTAATATGCCAAACATTTACGTTCTAAGAGTGTTTTCCACGAACAAAAGTAAGTCAGAGCGATCCTGTAAAACATCTTACCTATATTGATATTATATTTTATTATGACAAACATGCACATTGTTGTGATGTTTTCGGGGTTCGATTCCCCACATGGGACCATTTGTGAAGCCAATTTCTGGGGTCCCCCGTCGTGATATTGCTTGAATATTGCTAAAAGCGGGACCCGTGAACAGCCGGGTTAGAAAAGGTCTTCAGCAACCCATGCTTGTCGACGTTAGAGGCGATTAACGGGATCGGGTGGTAAGGCTTGCTGACTTGGTTGATGCATGTCATCGTAACCCGATTACGTGGATCGATGCTCATGATGTCAATCACTGGATTGTCTGGTCCAGATTCCAATATTTACTGACTGCCGTCATAAAGCTGTAATATTGCTGAGAGCGGCGTTAAATCACAAACAAACAAAAACTAATTAAAAGTGGCGTAAAACCATACTCACTCACTCTGAGGCTTGGCGTCACTGGTTTGTCTGACCCCGATTGGTTATCTACATGCCCACGTGATACAGCTCGAATATTGCTGACTGTGATGGCATCAACTCACTCACACTCTCTAATACGGATTATATTGAAAGAAACAGCCATTCGGATTAACAAAAGGTTCTTCTGTAACATTTAACAGATGATTCAGAAAATCCCAAACAGGACGAATTCGCTGATGTTGAAGTTCAAATACAGGTACATGTCGTTGTGAGCGCCGTCACGGGGTCTCAAATTGTGGTTTATCTATACGAACCTTCGTGGCGTGAGAAGATTTCACGGCCTGTGTGAAGTCACCGAGGGTTATAGTGGAGTTAATCCCTAAGAATATAAAATATAGATTGATATCTGCCATATTACTGGGGAAAGCACGTCGGCTGTCAAGGGCCTCAAACACCACGTTTGTTACATAGGCCTTTGTGGTACACGCTGCCCCAGTATTCCAGCTGTATGACAGCGGTCTGCAAATAATCGAGTGTCGACCAGACAATCCAGTAGTGGGTAGTGTGTGTTGTGGAATGTGGGGTGATGATCTTAAGAGATGTTTAGCCCAGCTGTCACCTGGTTGAATGTCTGCCATCATAAGTTTACAGCATGGACTGATGTTCACTCTATCGACCACCGGTTTTCCTGTCAATTACGTTCACGCTGCAAACACAAGGACGTAACCTTCCCGAACTCGTAAATCAGATGGTGACATTGGTTCACAAAAAACGGATTCCAAGAGAGGAGCACTCGTCGAAATTATAAGTAGCGCTATAACAAGGCAAACGACAAGGCCCTGTTCCGCAAAGCGATCTTAGTGCTAAGGTGATCGTAACTCCCATACTTTAACATAGACTTACGACAGTCGTAGCGCTAAGATCGCTTGGTTGAACGAGGCTTTGGTCTGTATGGACAGGCTGCCCTTATGTATGATTGAGAGATCTAGAGTATACTTTCAACAACGTCTTTGTGACTCATGTAATAAATTACCAACTGTATAAAGCTTTAAGGGAATAACTGTTAATATTTGTGTCAGTATTCCTTGCACAGTCCGTGGATGTCTTCGTTTCTGAACAACGGGCAAGAGATGGGTACTATTCCCGTCTAGTTATCGCCGACACTTGTCCGGCCCCGTGTTTGCAATGCTTTCACTTCGCAAATCCCTTAGTCGCGTTTCAAACAAATTCATTCACTTGTTATTTTACTCTTTCTTACTGCCTGTTTACACGCGGCTAAATTAAAGCGATAGTAAGACTTTCATCTTTTGATAAAACCCCTAACACTTTGCCAGAACAGATTTAGACCTCAGATTTCTTATGAATCGTGGGCTGGTCACATATACATTCATAGAGTATTATTACAAAGTTTGGGGTGGGCCCGACCAAATAGCTCCTTAAAGGCAAAGTCAGAGGCGTTTGTCAAACGTATCCTAACGGGGACATATTTAAAGTCCGGTGGTATTACGAGAGACAAATAAGCCACACTAACCAATCAAATGCCCGGAGTCAGTGATAAGTCCAATCCGATTAGGCGGTGCAACATCAAAGGAACGCCGCCGCCCCAGCGCGTGCGGTGTGTATTGGGCCCGGCGATGCCCTGTGAGCCAAATCGATAACAAGCAATTAGATCATGTGTACACTAACCGTTATTCAGACAATATAGTTTTGAATCCTTATTTCGCAACCCTATGCTAAAACCAGGCTAATTTTCAAAACCGAAGTCAAAGAACGTTCGTGTGTTAATATCAAGCTGTCACTGAGAAATCACGATTTGAAGATCATAACATGGTGGACGTGTTTCACGTGAATCTCGCACGATGTCATTTTAGGAGAAGTTTACAAGCGGCAATGCTTTTTATACTTATTAACCTCGCCGCCACGCTGAACGCATGTTTATATTTGAGTATATATGCATAAGTCCCGTGAATCACACCTGTCCGCGGAGCTGTTTGCCAGACCCATTCAAACAGTCGATACAGGTTGGTGTCGTATAACTGCTTTTAAAAAACACCACTAACAGGTAGTGAGAGGCCCTGTTTGCTCGAGTTATGAGAAAATAATAGTTCATGATGTTTATCCAAACATATTGTTGTCTCTGTCATTATCCAAGGCCGGGGAACCGAGATAGGGATAGCAGCGTTCACTTGTCGCGCGCCTAGTGACGTCACAGCACGATCTCGCGCAGCGGAGTGTAAGAGGCTGTCTCTCAGCGCGTTGTCAGTCGTACTGTGCTGGCCTTCGCGGGAGCATATTCACAGAGAGAACAGCGCTTTCAGTCGAGTCTGTATGATGCGGAAACCGTATATGTAAACATGGGCTTCGACACGGAAAAATTTGTCAATGGAATAACTGATGACAAAAAATGTGCACTTTGTCATGGAGTTTTAGACAATCCAGTCCGTGCGCCGTGCCATCATGTGTTTTGTTCGGGGTGCATTCTTCCCTGGGTGGTGCGCCATGGAAGCTGCCCCCTCAAGTGTCAAACCCTCACCCCAGGGGACTTGGAGAACGTGCTGCCGCTCAGGCAGGTGATTCTGCACCTTAGGGTCAAGTGTGACTTCACGGAGCGTGGATGTACTGAGATATTGCGACTGACAGATTTGGTTGACCATACTCAGGAATGTCAACACCGGCCTGTGGGTTGCAGCAACCCCGGGTGTGGGGTAGTGGTCAGCCACAAGGACCTCGGGGACCACGAGGGGACCATGTGTCAGTATAGGCCCGTGGGGGTGTGTCAGATTGGGTGTGGTCTCGTCCTTTTCCAAAATACGTCGGAAGAACATGATTGTGTTGGGGCGCTTAAGAATCATATTAATAACCAAAATCTGAAAGTTGGAGGATTGGAACAGGAGATTAAACGCATCTCGTTCAAATTCACGAAAAGAGAGAAAGCTCTTTTGACACAAGTGTCGAGCTTACATAGTGACATACAGCTCCAGGCTCTCAGATTCCAGAGGAAACTCAACGATTACAAAAATCAACTTGCTAGACTGACAAAACTCGAGCAAGAAATTACCAAGGTAAGCGAGACGTCTAATTTGATTATCTCAAATGTCTCCTCCATAGGCCAGACAATATATCGCATTTCTCGTTCAATCTATTCTGTTTATTAAAGCTAGAGGCGTCGGAGACGAGAGTCGTACATTGCTACCGTTCAGAATCTTCAGGTGTCTGTGATTATCACCACTCTCGTAATAGCCACTGTCTCTGTGTTACCAGCTAACTATAGAAACAGCTTTGAATATGAAACGACAGCATTTAAATCACGAAACTATCAACACCAGTGGCAAAGCACGTGGTGATGTATCCGTTTCTCGTTACATAGCAGTGGTGTAGACTGTCGGAATTAGTGAATTAAAGTTGACGTAATGTGAACGCAGTTGTAATGAGCATGACACGGTCGGGTCACAGGCTCTTCTCTCTGACCATAACCAGCTACCCTGGGCCGTTTTGTATTGTGAATGTTTGACCTAGGCTATTCGAATGAGCAGTTTGTCGAGGGGGTCGATTGAGGGGTTGCAGATCAAAGAGAAGGCGTTTCGCGGTGTTTGTTCAAGTCTATTTTCTCTTCCGACTCGCCTAAGGCCAAGGTTAGATGTCCCATACTCTTTGGAAGCCAGAAGTGGCGGAATGGGTTAAAAAGAACATAATTTGAAGTGCGGTTAATATAGACGGTATTGAACCATATAACAAGCGGAAAACGTGTGGTCGCTGAACGAAAACGAACCTCGACATAGGGTCGTTTGAATTAAAATATCTACTCATATTAACGGCACATGTAAGCAGGTGTTTGCTCTTTTATAATGTATTCCTAAAACGTATGGTATGGAAGGTCTTAATATGTAATCTGTCATTGACATGGCACTAATTGACACATATGTATGTGTAACAGACGTCCCGGCAAAGGGATATCCGTTTTGGTCGCGTTTTTTCTCAGTAGGCCGCCGTTTAGCTGTAATCCTTTACGAACACTGTCTCGACTGTATGTTGGCGCTAGAGACTGATGTGCGCGATGGAGTAATGTTTTATTGCCAGGGCGTTTAGGCTTGTTTACATAGTGTTTGTCAACTCGCCACTCTTCACACGCTTCGCTTCCCTAGAGCCATAAATTGGTGGCAACTCAGGCGTAATTTATGACCTCTTGGAAACGTCCACGATGAAAGCAAAATGTCAGCGGGATTTAATACGTTGTCTTGTTGGTTTTCCGATGAACACAACCTCATCTAGAAGTCGACAGATTCAATTAATTTGTGATATATTAGCATTGTAACACTTTATCGTTTTCATGGAATGCTCTTACACCATTTCGCTCTTATCGCGTTTGTTTCTGTAGAGCATCTGTTGAAAGCAAACTTCTACTAAATATTATCATGGCCATCAAGATCGATCACAACTTGGCACAATATTTGACGTGCTGCAGTAACAGTCTGTCTGCTACTGTAAATGATTTCCCAGCACTAACAGACATTAAATTTATGGCTGGTTCTATTGATAGTAGTTATGGTGAATGATAGCTCGGACAATTGACCAGCCCGGCTGTCAAATGACACTGTTGGCAGTAAAAGCCATCAGAGGTCCCTTGACCTCTCCTGAGTACTCGTGTGTTGCTGTGGGGAAAGTAGTATGGATGGAAATGGTACTTGATTGTTCCCGCGATGGGATCAGTTTTAATGATTATTAATTATGTCTGTTGCGTAATGACGCCCAATGGAGGCAGTGTCTGTGCGCGGGGGGAGGGGAGTCATGCTCTGCCATATGTTCTCGATGGAAAGAGAGACGCAAAGCTTCGTCTCATTAGGAAGCAAGGCATGGTCACCTGGCGTATGGGAGAGCGTTCTGACAGCTTCCTAAAACCTAATGATATAACCACCACTTACTCTATACACGAACAATGTTAATAGCGTGTTCCGGTGACATCACATATGTTAAGAGAACCTTTCGATGATAAATTATACAATGCCAAAGTGATGTTACGCTACCGGAAGCCAAGCAGTTAATTTGGATAGGTATAGCAACCGCAGTTGCTTCTGACGATGCAGGCTTTTGAGATAATCACTGGCATTTAGACATGAAACGTCATTAACGGTAGTCTTCATTATGCTAATACCACAGTAATTAACCATAATTCAACAGAAACTTCAAGATAACCCAGATTGGCCACGGCACAGATAACAATTCAAGATCGATATACAAATGAAATCCTTTGACCGGTGGCGCAGGGTCGCTTGAATGCCCGTTACGGTGTTACAACGTGGTGACTTCGGACACCCAACTCGTGAGTGAGTGGGCGGTCTTCGTGACATAAGACTTGAGACTGAACGTGACTCCGTTATTAATAATCGGCTACGCACGTGGGGTCTTCGAGGGGTCAGACCTCCCCTGACCATCTAAGTAAGGGTGGGGGACAAGATCGCGTGAGCGAACACAGAAGTTCCATTGTGTGTGAAAAACGCATTGGTTTGACTTGACATCAGATTTTACTTCATATTTTCAACACCTTGTAACTTTTTCTGAACATTATAAGGATTTATTTGTGATAATATTGATGTATCTTACGCAATATATGATTTTTCAATCGTATATAAGTTAAGAATACTTTTGATATTTAATCCGTACGGAAATATTTACAAGGAACCAAAAAAAATGTAACTACTTGTCCAGAAATGCCATGTTGGATAATTTTGTCTCCAACTGAACATTTGCTTGCCCTTTTATCTCAAGAAAATCAATTGTCCTCCTGGACAATGAAGGCATTTTACAGGGGTTTCAATTAATTACCACTCAGTCAGCCCTGAAGACGTGAGCTGACAATCTCCAATAGCTTTCAGTGATCTGAAAGTTCATTTTCCATTTTAGAAGCAAGTGAATGATTTTGTAGTATATTCCAAACAGCCTAAACATTATAATTAAGTCATTAAACATGAAAAGAAAAAAATCTAATATTTTTAAACATTTCTGAAAGAAAGGAACACTAAAACATATTTTTCCTAACAAATTGTCCACTCAGCTGTTTGTATGTTTATGTAGTTTGAATGACAGCTGTCAATCAAGTATGATATAGAGTAGACATACACCTTTCCATAAAGCTGTTCATTGTTGTTTATTGGGAAATTGACCCTAGAAGGGAAAGCAAAATTGGCTCCGTTGATTAAATAATTGTCAAGAAGTGGTCTACTTTATTAATCTGTCATGTGTGATTTATCATGACAGTATGTGGTGTCTGGTGTACATAGACCAGACAGGTAGCCAATAGACCGGAATGCTACCAGGCTGAGAATAATTGTCAAAGTCATAAGCTAACTTAAGCAATATCTAGGGCCATCTCAAAACTATTTTTTTCATTTTTCAAATGCAATATTTGAGTGGTGATTATCATCTTTGATTTACACATTATATGATATATTTTTTAAAACAATTCAATATTAAATGGATTTTAGGTTTTAATATTCCAATATGTCACCATATCCTTTTGAGAAGTACCTGTATTCATAAAGCTGTATTGCGTTCCGAGTGCTTATGTATCCTGTGTATATGACTGAATAAAATTTTTAAAAAAAATAAAAAAATATTCCAATATGTCAGGGTTGAATTGGGGTTATTTTGCAAAAAAAGAAGTGCTTAATGTTTGAGTAAAAAAATGAAGGTTTTTATTTCAATGTTATCTGTTACCATGGTTACCTACAAGGTACATATAGTTTTAATTTCGTAATAAAATGGAGATTTTGAACATGAACATGAACCAAGAAACTAATAATAGTTGGTAATATTTGGTCAGAATAAATATCAGGTTATCAGGTTATCAGGTTATAATGATCACATTTCCATAATGTTTTATTTTAAATCAGGAATCCTTCATCAGTGAAATTGAAACAACACAGCAATTAGATTTTTGAGTGATTTTGGAAAGTAATTTGTCATTATTTGTGTTTTTGTAAATAAGTTATGTGATTTTCTTTTTAAAGAATTAATTGGCTCATATTTGTGTAGTTCTGTTTCATGGAGTCAGTTATTTCACCGGTTTCATTTTGATTATCATAACTGCTGTAAAACTGATAAAAAGTTTTGAGATGCTCCCCAAGAAGATAGATGTTATAAACAAAACAGATTAACATTCCAACATTCAGGTGTTCAGCCGGCAACTCCAGTGTGACTGGAGACACCTAGTATTTTGCGAATACATTACTTGTCAAACCACAGGATTAGCAAACCTCGTAAATGCCTCATTTAAAGTCGACCTGATTGAAACGGCTTGAGTGTCAGTTGTCCTGTCTGTCAATGAACATAATCCTTTTGTTTTACTCTCTTAAACATACAGTTTATTGTAGAATGTTGACTCTTTGACGCTCCTTATAATCCACGTAGATTAGATTATGATGGGTAAGCGAGACAACAATCTTGTTAAGACCTTTTTGTATCTGTGTTTTGGAAATCATGTCAATTTGGAGGATATATGACAAGATATAGAGGATTCATCACGAGTGTTTTTTAATATGGGAAATATCAACCGAGTCTTAGTTAATCGGTATTTGCCGAGCCTTTGGCGAGGCAAATACCGATTAACGGGACGAGGTTGATATTTCCCATATTAAAAAACACTCGTGATGAATTCTATTTATCATTTTCACATTTTTGCTTCCAAATTAAGGAATAATTGCATTAAACATTAACATCAGCAACTTGTCGAAATCTTACGTATAGATCGTGCGTAGTGATACATGTTTTCCATAGCCATGTAAACCAAAATAAACAATTCGCTGAGAAAAAAAGTTCCTCGAACAGACTTTTTGCAGAATAATTGAAACTTTAATAATGGTAACAACAACGATTCTGTGTAATCTGATTATATCTCTGGTGTAACTTCACTTATAATATATAGTTTCAAATCAAACCGCTCGCTCTTCCGGTTATCTAATTTGCATATCTAATTTGCATACTTATGTCATTGGGGTAAGACATACATGTTTTTATGTCATGAGCTTATGTCATGGATAAATGCTTAAGTTAAATGATAAATTGGATT